TAGTAGTTTGGAACATTGAAGGAAGATTGAGAAGATGTTTCTTTTCTATAGTTTTACCGAAGTGTTCGACTGACCTAGCCCTATTGACTCCACCCAGAGTGACATATACCAGAAGTGAACAAAATACAACTGGCCAACTCTTCTTTCTACTGACTTGGGTGTCACACAAATAGGTGGTTCCAATTATGTTTCGCTTGTGTCTACGCAGCTATTTTTATCAAATACGTTCTTGGATTTTCTCATTTTGTCTCCACCAGTTGAAAGGGGAAGGGAGCCAGGCTTCAACCTGTAGGAACTCAAGATGGATTTTGTCTTCAATCGAGGACCGCCTGCCCAACGTGCTATCCTGTTGTGTGTCTTTTTATACGGTCCGAACGCCTCATAACAGGTACTTCTTGGTGTGACACCCAAATCAACTTGCCAAGTTTTTATGTCAGTGTTGGTGGTTTGACCAATCAACCGACAACTGCGGTGGCAGAAATTTGGGAAGGTAACCTGGAATGTCATCGAAAAACGAATCCACATGTTTCCAGAAATGCAGGTTAATGCAGTCAAGCTGCTGATTCCATGAAAATCAAAAGATAATAATAATAATAATTCACATATTGATTTCAATTTAAGAGCCATCGATAGAAAGCTGTTTCAGCATATTGGTCGTCAGTACAGGGCAGGCGGTCCTCGATTGAAGGCAATAGGATAATTATGTGACACAGATAGGTGTTTCCACTTGTCTCGCTTGCGTTTGCGCATTTATTTTTATGAAGTACTTTTCTTGGTAATTCACATTTTGTCTCTAATCGAGGACCGCCTGCCCGGTACTGACGATGTCCGATAGGCCTAATTACCAAAAATCCTAATGAAATGAACAAAAAAAATAGATATTGAAAATCTAAGTATAATTTACAACAATACACAGATAATACATAGATAAATCTTGGTAATATTCTCAATTTAAAATAGTTACACATTGTATAAAATTCTTTGAATAAGCATTTTTGAAATAGAAATCTTTTCAATGATAATGCCATTCTTGTCATTATAGTAAGCTTTGAATATGACATTACTATTACCAGATATCTAAAAATTATGACACTATTACCATCAAGCAATTGTGAAACTCACATTACTTGTAAGTATTGTCCATTTTTTAAAAGTATTTTCTATTGTATTTCATTTTAGCGTTTTGGCTAATTCTCTCTTCAGAGACCAAAGCTTGGCGATTTGTAAAATGAAATAAGTTTTTTTATACGAAGAAAGTAATACAAATCATGAAATCATGAAAAAACACAAATTAATTGGCGCTCCGGGGCGCCTTCATTGATTCCAGTGGCGCATTTGCTTTTTCAGCTGCAAGAAATCCCGGAAAAACCTGCAGCACCACATCATCTGAAGATCTTGATCTACCAATATCCTCTATTTCTTAAAACAAAATAAAGAGTGTCTCCAGAGGCTTCAATAAATTCAAAACATCGCCAGAACACTCCGTGACACAACTATCGTCAAACTTAAACTAGTCCGTTTCGTCTTTGACCAATGCGTAATAATGACCTGATTCAACGCCAAAACCATAGTGAACAATGACTGCATGAAGAATATAATAGTGGTCTGCTAGATTGATGTGTTCATCTATTTCGAACTTTCGTAAGAGTTTGGTGCATCCGTCAGAGGCTGAGTGTCACTATTAGATTGACTGGTGCCTCAGCTATACTTGTTTTCTTATAATAGTCAGTTAGTTTGACACATTTTTGGCAATACAGTTGATAATCTCTTGTTAAAAGTTCCATTTTCAGACGATTTGACAATAAACTTTGCACGGACTGGTTATCAGTCATATTAGAAAACGCTAGTTGAAGTTCCAGAAAATCACATACGTTTTTGCTACCTCTTGAACATTTACTACAAAGTAAACAAGTGAGGATTTTTCCAGCCAAAGATCTACAAACACAAGACGAAATAGACTGTACGGAATCATTCTATCCAGAGTTGTCAGGAGTATTTTTTTTCTCACGAAGAGTATTCAACAAGTACCTCAAGAATTCGGAGCAATCCTCTTGTCCTAACGAGTATCAAGTGGACTTCAAAGACTCCAGGAAATCGGTTGGTGGGAAAGATGATACATTCTTTCGAAACTGCAACTGCGTTTGGTGAATATGTAGGAAACATTCTCGTTTTCGTTCATCATTAAAACCTTTTTCTTGAAATTCTTCGTCATGAACAACACTTGTAAAATGCTTTTCATGTAGCGTTTCCTAAATTATCTAATCCAATTTTCATCTCAAGATTTTCAGGACAACTGTCTATTCATTCGTAAGGAAAAACATGTTTTGCAGAATCTGTATCAGAACCATTTCTCAAGCTGCAATCGATCCTTCCAAGTGATGAAGGGTTTTGTAGAGGGATCGATTCGGCTCTTTCTTCATGAAGCTCTTCCATTGATAGGTAACCAGAACCACGATGACTGCAGCTCATATGTGGGGGGCAAGAATGACCATTGACCGCACTGAAAAAGAAGAAGGTGGATGAAAATTAACCTTGATAGGAGACTGATGAATATACACATATTTTGGCTTGTTTCGTAAAGATTTCAGATGCATGATCTCATCAAAATTATGCGAAGGAGGAAAAGTTCCAAGGACGGAAGCAGCATTACCACGTTGAACAGCAATTTTAATTCTTTCTATCAAAAAAGAAGTACAACGGTAATCTTTCGTTGTTTGGCTAATTTTCCTTCTGATACATCTGAAAGGCAGTTATATTACTTGAAACCTTTATAAATAATGGAAACTTGTCTTCATTTTAGTTATTGGCTTAGTAGTGTTTAGCAGTCTGGTGCCTAGCGTAGTAGGTAAAAGTAGTATTCTCTCTCTTATGGATAAGACAGACAGTTTAGAATATAAATATCGAGATTGGAGTCAAAATTCCATGTTGAAGATAAAGAGATTTGTAGGAGTATCCAGGCTTGGACTTTCGACAGGTACCTAACCGATTGTTTCTAAGGTACAAAGATTGTCTGAAATTGTGTTACCCAACACGTATTCTGAAGTACATTTTCATATCTCCTACGTGACTCGATATGAGTGAAGTAAGCTGAATTAAGCATGTTAATTATTACTATCAATGCTTAGCTTTCAAAGTTCAACTTCTTCATCAGCTTTGAGTTGTGTTAGTAACATTTCAGTCTGTTATATATTTTTTTGCCCTCAAAACTTGGTACAGAGTTTTCCACTGTATGATTCTTCAGTTGGATGTCAAATAATGTGCATCGAAAGGTCATAATCACACCAATCTTTCATTTTAGTAATATCTTCACTGACTGTTCCATGACATATTGTTGTGTCTAGTATGCCATAGTATTGTGGTGACGTCTATGAAAAATCTTATCTTTTCATTCATTGCTGTTTTTTTACATCAAGAATCAAACCTTGGGGTATACCATATATCTGATTAATCTTTTGATATCTGACCCATGCTTCTGTAAGTTATCCTTGTGGATATCAGCTCCTTAGGTAGCTCTGGCATATTTCTTTCAAATACAATCCTTTGATGTTCGCCTCCTCCGATCTTTATGTTATGGAACATATTTTAGCACCTTGTCTTTTTTCTTATCTGTTCTTGTACTTCTTTGTTTTCATTTCTTGTTGCTATAGTCGTTTTACCAACATTTATTTATTTTATCCTTTCATTGGTTTCAAGAGCTCAATGATACATGCCATTGCCACATTGAAGCATAATTACTCTTAGTTGAAGTCACCATACATACTGAATGGGATTTAAACTTCTTTCCTCAATACCGCTTATCACATCACTACATATCCCATCACTACACAGAGCTGGCCCAAATAAATATAAACTCAAAAATTATTGAGATATATTCTCCAATTGAAATATAAACATATTTTTCTGTAGTAGAGTAGTAGAAAGCCAAAAACTTTCTTTCCCAAAAATGAATCACTCCTAAAAATATAACCCCTTCAATTCAAATAAGATTCCTCTTGGCTGGGATTTAATCAAATAAGTGAATAAATGTCTTTACGATGTTATCAACGACATAAGTAGATCAAACTTATTCCATGACATTGAAAATTGTAATTCATGAATGAATTGTGTGTATTTTCTATGTTATCCAATTTGGTACTGAAGAGCCCTAAGGAAAGTGTCTTATAGCCAGTGAGGATGACAGTGTTCCATGTAAGTGCAATTTGTTACTATTCATTTAAAGTAGAATTCCTGTGAATGATATCTGAATATCATTCTTTAACGAATATTTGGAATACAAACTGAGTAGAGAAAAGTATCTTCTGTATAATTCAGTGTTCGTGTAAAAGTATTTGTTTCGAAAGATTTTTTTTCTTTCGTGTAATTAAATGTTTATATGAAAGTAGCTGTTTCAGGAAGGCTTTCTTCCAGTTTGTGTCTGAAAGTTGCTTCTTTGCATGTATAGAGTTACTTATTTTCAATTGATGATGAAGTAGTAGAAAGCCAAAAACTTTTCCCAAAAATTAATCACTCCTAAAAATATAACCCCTTCAATTCATAAAAATATGATTATGAAATAATCACACAAAAAATTTCAGTTGTATTGTCTATCTGATTTATCGTTATATATTTAAGGAAAACAAAATTAAATCTCCGGTTAAAAAATATGTTGGAACTCATATCACGATTAATTGATAATTGTGACTGAGAAAGCTTTAAACCACTTTGAAGAGAATGTTTCTAAGTAGATTTCAATAATACATTTCAGTTTTGCACTAAAAATGCCATTTGTAAACCAAGTGTGGCGGACATATGACATAATCACTACGAGATATATCTCCTGTGGTATTCACAAAATGACTTCTAAAGGGTAACTGTTACTGCTCATAGTTTGCTGGTAACTGTCTTGTAACTACAAATATCATATCTAAGAGACAAGCAACAAATTAGAAATATACGGAGGATAAAAAGATATTTTTGATTTTGATAGCAGAAGGAAGGAATGTCTGAGAAAAAAAATTCAGTTGTTTCTAATATTTAATTTGAATGGCAGTCAAATTGTCATTAGAAAAGACTATCGTGAATATTGAAATATTCAATTTGAGCGAATAAAAAAGTACATTTTTTTAAAGTATGCTAAATTAAAATATTGATAAGATAATTAAGTACACTTGAATGATTACAAAAATATCCCAAATTAGTCTAAAGTGGTACATCTAAAATTTCGGCGTTTTAAAATATACGCCTTGCCAACAGATATCAAGCGACTTGATTTCCATATATCTTTTGTGTCTCTTCACATTTCATTCTTGCAATTTCTCTTGTTTCTAAAGGCCTTGATGAAAAACCATTCCGACAAAGTGCGGCAACTTCGGCAATATCCCTACCTCGCGTCTCAGGAAGATAAAATCTGAAAAATATCATCTTTTGGTTCATTTATGTATGGAGCAATACAAACTCATTTCTCAAAACTGCATCATTAACAAGAGCGACTAGATTCAACAAAAAAAAACTTCTACAATTTTATTAATGCTCTACAACATACATTTAATTGCACACAGCTATTTTCAATAATAACAATGCTATAGATAGCAATTGTACTAACATTCCCTATGCTACTCAAACTAATTTTGAATATCAATAAAAAAGCAAAAACTACCAAAAATCAACATTATTGCATAAGTCAAACTCAATATTGAATGGGAAAGGTACATGATCCCAGAAAGCACTACTTTGTTTCTCCATTTGATATATCAGATACCAGGGCATTTTGTGATTAGATTTGTGATAAGTTATTTTCAGTCGAATACAGTTTTTAGTTGTTTAGAGAAGGCGCACATTTTGGTATTGAAAGGCACTTCAATTTCTCATTATAAGGGTATGTTATCTTCTATATCTTTTAAATGAGTCAAAAAATGAACCTGAGTCCATTAACCCACGACAAATAAAAATTCAGAAGAAGAGGAAGAGTAATTTGATTTTGATGAACAGAAACAAGTCATCTTTTAATATTGCTAATTTCAAAGTGTACTAGATTTTTCACTTGGTTTACGTTAGGTTGACAATTATTTGTCCAAATGAACATGTTTTTACTCCTATATTCCTATGTTCATTGTTTTCATTACAACAAATGATACATTTCATTACCCAGATGAGACAGTTAAGTTAAAAAGTACCTGTCATTCAAATTTCATTTTTTTTTTTAAGTAAATAAGGTAAAATCACATGATTTCACTTATCTAATCTGAAAATATTACAATTTTTTTTTTACTTTTCAATTACAAAAACTATTTGACTCAGAAATTTTTTGTTTTTCTCAAAACAACAAAAAAAGTGCCTGAAGTACCTTTTCAATGTTCATTTATGCCAAATACTATAACCCTAATTCTGCAGTTCCCTAATATTAAGATACCTACTTACCTTATAAATATCAGTAGAATCAAAACAAAACAGGCGAAAATGAAAAAACTTGCTGGTCCAATGTAAGTCTTCATGGTGGGAAAAGTCAAACCAATAATTAAGTTACCAGCCCAATTGGACATACTACCCAAAGACATTGCACTTGGTCTAGGACCAATCTCGAAGAGTTCAGAACCCACAAAATATGGGATTGGGCCTAAACCTATCCCGTAAGTAGTTACGAAACCTAACACCCCAATAATACTCAGATAAGGAATCCATGTATAAGATTTCTGAAAGAATTTGTGATTATAATTGTTTATAAATATTACTGTCGAACTTACAATGAACATGATAGCAAATCCTAGTAAAATCAAAAAAAATATGGACAAGATCATACTAAGTTGCAAACAAACTCTCCTATCGAACCTCGATGTAAACCATATTGATAATACAGCCATAAACAGATTACAAAAACCTGTTCCAATGGTAGCAAGCTCTCCTTGAGATGTTGATAAGCCAGCTTCTTGAAATATTACATTGGAGTAATAGAATACCTGAAAAATATAATATTTGTATAAGATTTTTATAGATTCATTGGTATGTTATTCAACATTTTTTCGATTGAGTTTGAAGTAAACTCAAGTAATGATCCCAAGAAAATTATCAGATGATCAAATTTATTGAAAAAAAATATATAAAAAATTCTAAGCTACAAAAATATTCCTGGTAATTGTCATTTCATAAAGTTGACAGGAATAGTGGTAGAGAAACTCGTAAAAGTAGATATTTGAACAAGAATAGGCAGAAGTTCTCCAAAAAAAATGAAGCAAAAATTTTATACTTCGTGTATAAGATGAAGGAAATCACACATGTATAAGAAGTTTACATATAACCAATACTCAAAGAGCAGGCAACCTAGATATTCCTCCGGCATATCTGAGGAGCGACATTTTGGTTGTGAATATGTTATCAAGTTATATACGAAATACATACTAAACAATTTTTTTCTCTGGCCAAAAATATGCAATTTATGTACCTACATTTCTTATTTATTGTGTTATCTAAAAGATCAAAAATATTTGTGAATCAAATTTCTGTAGGAAATAAATATAAAAAAGCAGCAACAATAAATAACAAAAAAGATAGGTACCAGTAGTTAAACGCACGGAGCTGCATGAACTTGTTAGAAATAAGTGTAGGTATGCATTGATTTGTTCATTACCTACAACTATATGTATATGGGCTGTTTCATTACACATTAGCATTATTCTTGCTTCATGGATGGCAGATGGTGATAATAAGTGCCAGTTTATATTATAATTTAGAAGTTGATTGACTTTCTTGAAAGATATGTTTTTTTTTCAATTATTACAGATCATTGAAAATGTCTTGATTCAACTTTGAAATTTCGATTATTAAATTATAATTGTGACTGAGAAAGCTTTAAACCACTTTGAAACAACTGGTTCTCATATCAATACTTTCCATAATTCGAATTGCGTATTTTTGAAGAATGAAGATCCGATTCATACCGGCACTATTTCCCCAATTCAGTGTACCATACTTCATGTGGTAGTGAAAATGTGCAAAGTACAGCGTAAGCAAGACATTTTTGCTGCAGTGGTCTTCCATATACTTTATGCTGTAGCAACTACTTCTCAGTTTATCAGACAATAGTTCTATATGACTTGCCCATTGCAAATGTTTTTCGAAAATTACTCCCAAAAGTTTCACCTCATCACTACAAGTTATTTGTTTTTCTGTATTTTTGAATAACACAAGTGATCTTTGTTTGGAGCGCCTAAAAAATACTGTGACTGTATTGTTATGATTCAGTAACAGAAGTAACAGACAATTCTTTTCAGACCAACGAATGATATCTTCATAAATCTTCTCAGTTTTACTCAGTAGCACGTCTACGTTTTTTTCAGAAATTTGTAAATTGGTATTGTCTGCATAACACACTATTTTTATATCGTGGTTTCTTTCCATCAGACCGATTATATCATTTACAAATATATTGAACAATAAAGGTCCCAATACAGATCCTTGAGGTACACCTCGATTTATTTCACGGTAACTATTCAGAACTCCATCCAGTCTAACAACCTGACTTCTGCCATTTGAATATAATTCAAATAATTTTAGGGGTATCCCCCTAACTCCATACGATTCTAACTGACTACATAAAAATCTATGATTGACTGAGCTCTTGAAAAGTCAATGAAAAGACCTAGAGCATATTTTCCCTTATCAAGATTGTCTACTTACAAGACATTTTTGAAAATCACTCAGAGCCGATTCTGTACTCATATTTTTACAGAATCCATGTTGATTTCTGGATAACAGTCTCTGACTCCACAAGAATGATGAGAGTTGATTAGTGATGTCCATTTCAATGAGTTTAGAGAGACTTGATAATAAACTGATGGTTCTATAATTGAAAAAGTCATCAAAATCACCTTTTTTGTATAATGGCAGAACCACAACTAACTTCAAGCATTCTGGGAAAATTCCTTCAGAATAACAAAGATTGATGAGAAAAGCCAATGGTTCACATAAGCCTGCATACGATTTTTTTGACACTGGCATATTCAACTTTAGATAATCCAGATCATGCTGATTTACCGAAAATGGTTCTCTAGTGAAATGGATGTTAAACTGCTCAGCCATTTCCGGGGCGCGTATTTACATTCTATACCATTATACAGATGAGTGCTACTCTATAACGTAGTATAATATGTACACTTTAAACGCGCGTATGGTTTCTCCAAAACATACCGCGATACAGATAAGCGTCAATCTATAACATAGTAGGATTTGAACCCACGATACACTCCTATTTCTACTCCAAATTATACCGCGGTACAAAAAAAATATAATTTATTTTTTAAAGTTTATGGCCTATTTCTAAGCTAACAAAGTAAACACATTTCAGAAAACAAAACTTACACGTAATATAAAAATGAATGCGATTTCTGGTTAGTTTGATTCAAACTAATATTCACTTCCAGATTTCTCAAACACTTCCGTTTTTTAACGATACTGCCTTCGAATTTTGTTGGCCTACCACCCTGAATTCTTTTTGAACCTGCAGTTAGCCCTGTTCTTTGTTTTCTGCGACAAGTTGATGTTGATTGTACACCTATAATTCTGCCGCGTTTAACTTTTTTGATTTGATGTAAAAAATTTAAAACATCACCAGTTGTTTTTAATTTATTCATAGCCATGTTTACTTTATTTATAGCATTAGCTGTTTCTATGGAATCATTTCCCTTTAGAGTTTCGACAACTTTTGCAAAATTTTGAGAGAGACGGTTCAGTAGATAGAGTATCAGTAACACTACTTAGATCGTTAACAGATGATGTTTCTTTGCTTGGTACAAATGCCGAAGAAGAGAAATCTGCAGCAGTAATATCATTGCCTATATTGCTATTATCGCTTACTATTGTAACTGTTTCATCGACCAAATCTAATGACATCATATCCTCAAAAAAGGTAGTTTGTATATCTTCACCTAGAGCAATTCGTGCAAAATCTTTTTTATCATCACAAGATAAAAGAGGAGCTGTTTTTAAAAGAATGTCAAACTGATTTTCAACGGCGCATAAATGTTTACAAAACTTTCCTCCTTGACCGTAGGGACAATCGCAAGTGGCGGTGTCTGTATGCACGGTGTAAATATACACATCAGAAGAGACAGCAAAGCTGATATTATCACACTGCTTGACAGTGAGATTTTTAGCTTTAACGCAAAATTGGTTATATATAATTTTATTTTTTGTTTTTCTACAATTTGAAAATGATAGTAAGTGACGTCTATGGTATGACTCAAATATCTTGCAAACAAAATCAACCAGCGCACAAGTGTTAAATGCTTTGCATCTTTGGAGAACTATGTCTTTAAATATATGTATCGACGCCTCTACTAAATTATTTGTGTTATGTCCCCTGGTTAAAATTTTGTGTCTAAAACAGACAGCCCATTCCTCTCGTCTATCCCATAAAGACTGCATATAACTTTGAAGCTTATCATAAGATAAAATTACTTCATCCTTAAAGAATTCTTCATGAGCTTGATTGATTTCTGTCTCAGAATGAGCATATAATATTTTTTGAAACTGTCTCATAATATATGATTTGTCTTTTTTTAGTATTCCATGCGTATTATCCCAAAGCCAACGCCAAAACGCCTGACATAAATGAAAGGTACATAACAGAACAGTCGAATTTGCAAATACAATCTTTAACGCATTTCTTTCGGCTTTTGAGTCGTCGGTTATAAAAACCAGAGGGTATCCAAATCCTCCAAATCCATATAGTCCAAGAGCATTCTTTAACATATTGAAAATCAGTGTGTAATTTGCTTCAGTCTGATCAGGATGCAAAATACAAGCCGGAGGTAATGCACCAATTTTTGAGGCTGTGAACAGAAATGTGACACACGAACTGGTTTGGTCACATGACCCACTAGAATCAACGAAGACAATTATGGTGTTTATGAGTTCTGAGCATTATAGGCGTTAGTATAATAAAAATCAGAGTATTTTCCATTGTAATGATCTTCATTCCTAGCTCTTCATAAAATTGTATTTTTTCTTGCAATACTTTGTACATACTCTGTCCATCTCTTCCCCCAAAGTTGATTCGTCTATAACAGGGATACTGGTTTAAAACAACACTATTTGATAACAAACCGACTTAAATTTACCTCCACTAGTCGTATAGATGATAAATCTGACGATCCGTAGGGTTCAACTGCGCATTTGCTAATACTTCAAAAATATTTGAATTTCATTTTCTAACATAAGTTCATTGTAATTTTTTGCTGAGGCAGGAGACATTCCTTCATCAAAATATTTAATAAATATTTCTTTAGTATGCTGACTCATGCGTAAGTAAGTAACTATACGTCTCGGCAACTTTTAGTTTATGACTGTGCTTAAAAGCGATCTAAAATTTAAGAATAACTTGAAAAATAATTAATATAGGGTGTCCCAAAATGTATTTTTTACAAAATCCTACCACAAGCTTTCAAAAAGCTTTTCCAGCCAAAATAGATAGATGTTGCTAAAGTTAGCTAAGTTCACTGTTTTTCAGTTTCAACGGTAAAAGACTTTACCTTATTTTGATCCAAGGTAGGATTTTGTAAAAAGACCTTTTAAAAGGTTTTTAGTGATGGGTAAGTATATCTAACTATCCAGTTTGTTGTGGTGCCAATACTAAAATTGCGGATCGAGTCGTCACACCACTCACCATTTGTTTTATTATCGCTATGGCGATTTTTGCTTCTTATAATAAAACTGTAGTCGTTACAACTAACGTAATTATAACTTTCAATTATATCTTCCCTATAAATAATATATTTCAAGACATTTAGGTTTGCTTCCATCTCAAATTACAATTTCAACAATGTTTTTAACACAACAGAAAAGGGTTTAGTACAGCAACGAATGACGGCACGCTCATGTTGATTTAACGGCCATCGGATATTTACTGTTCACGATGAGAGACAAATGGATCTTAATAAATGCGTTGTAAAATGCATTGGTGTCACGTGCGTAATTCTATTGACTACTATAGTGAAAATCCTGAACCGCGGTATAATTTGGAGTAGAAATAGGAGTGTATTGTCGGTTCAAATCCTACTATGTTATAGATTGACGCTTATCTGTATCGCGGTATGATTTGGAGAAACCATACGCGCGTTTTAAATGTACATATTATACTACGTTATACAGGAGCCCTCATCTGTATAATGGTATAGAATGTAAATACGCTTCCGGGGCAGTCATCTGTTTACCATTATCATCGTGAATGTTGTTTTTACAACGTCCTTTCAAATTATTAATAATTTTCCATTCAGTTTTTGATTTATTATTTGCTTTCATTATCAAATCATCATTATATCTTTTCTTAGCCTCTGACAATGCATTGCAGTAGCGTTTCTGTAGCTCTGCTCTTGGTTGATGATATATTGGGTAAGAAGTTGCTAAATCCGATATAAGAGTTAATTGTTGCTTCAAATGCAGAAGTTCCTCGTTAAATCAAATTCGCTTTTCAGCTCTTTTATTAATGGGTATTTTTTTAATAGGAAAACAGGAATCTATCAAACCACTAATGAAAAATGTATGTTTTTATCGTTCCCTCTGTATATAGATTTTTTATTTATTTTATGTGATGTCTGATATTTCTAGTTGAATCAAATGTGTTAGTAAAAAGAAGATTTTGATAACAGTTGTCAAATAAATAGAATTTAAAAACGTCAGTAAGACTTTATTTGATGATAAAATTATATCCATCCCATATATAAAAAGCAGACTTGAGGTTATATTCAATATTGAAAGCCAAGTGCTGATAGAAATGGTCTGACAGATTAAGATTTTTTACTTCTGATCGCCAGTCATTTATATTGGAGCTTATGAAAATATTGTCTACACAAGTACTAGAAATTGCAGTCACTCTAGTTGGAGACCTTATTGTTACTGATATATCATAACATCCCAGCAAATCCTCAAAGAGTTCCCTGCCATTACTATATTCCAAGAAATTAATATTGAAATCATCTCCAATAACAATAGTTTTATAATGAGAAGCAACTTTTTCCAACATATTTGCAAAACATTCTAAAAAAAGTATGAGATCAATACCAGGAGTCTATAAACTACAAACACACCAATATATTTTTCATGTGCTACTGCACAACACTCAAATAATCCTTCTACAGAGATATCATTCAGATCTAACTTATATAGAAACAGTTGACATTCATTATTTTTATATATTGCCACTCCGCCATGTCCCATGGTTTATCTAGAATAGGCATTGGCCAATGTAAAATTCTCAAGTACTACCCCCTTTATTTTCAAATCATCCTGCCAGTGTTCAGATATCAGAAGAAAGTCACATTTGACATCAGGAAATACATCCTCTATTCTAAGACATTTGTTTCCTATACATTGCACATTTTGATGAAATATATCAAGGGAAATATTTTTCAAATTACTATTCCTCATTTTTTTAGATGGAAGATTCATTTGATCCCGAATATTATTACATACTTTTTTCACGAAAAACTGCCTTTGAGCATTGAATCAACAAGTAATGAGATGGCTATGTTTTTTCTTCTGTACCTTTCGATGTTATGTTTCATATTGTTGATTATAATTGTGTCTGACGGATTATCAACGTTATAAAGTTGGGATTGTCTTTGTACATATGTGATTCATGTTATTCATCAATGAACTTTTATTACATGTTTCCTGGGTTTGGGTCTCCGTGTCAACAAAAACTGGTGGTTCTTCACATCCATGTTTTTCATCACTTATAGTTTTTATCTCATGTTTTAATGTTGAGATAAGCTGATTTTTTACATTTATTGTGTTAGTAATTCTCGCTCCATTTTCAAAGATTCTTCAAGTGAAATATCATGTTCTTCCTTCAGTTTATTTGTGTGATGAGATTCTTGATTACACTCCTCTTTCAATTCATCCACGATTAGCGTCCAAAGATTATCCACCTCACTTGAGTCAAGGTCTGTATCACATTCCCTACATATCACTTTATAACTGCCTAAATGCCTTAGGCAGTCATAAAGTGACAACTTTAATGAAAGACACCAACACACTTCACACAAACGTAATACATATTCATTGGTTTATTTTTACAACATATAAAACCAGAATTTCGTGTTTCTGATGAGCATTCAGGACTACAATGTTGCTTGTCAGCCATCCTAAATGAATGTACGTGTCGGATAGGTATTTGACTTGAAAATATATAATTTTTTTTGAGTAATGTCTGCATTTTTACCTGGCTTCATTTTTAAGAGACTATGAGAACCGAAATGAACGTTGTCAAATATAACATAATAACTTTAAGGGGTTTTATTGTATTACAACAAATTTCCACAGAAATTCATGTGACAGACTATATGTTCAAGTTTTAAAATTGGAGAAAATACATTTCTTCTTACTAATATGATATTTTTTTCATTACAATTTCACTCAACTCCTTTCAATTTTCAAAAAATTAGAACTAGAAGTTTGTTCACGCACCAGTCTCAATAATGTTAGGAATTGTTCTTTAATTTCACCAACTTATTTGACAAATCCCGGGCTAGTCAGATGTTTCATGTCGACTTTCGGCTTTTCTAACACCTGTCAAAGCTCACAAAAAAATTTAAAGTAGCATTTATGACCAGTTTTTAAAAAAACAACCCAACTCGCTAGTGTATCTATTAGAGGCCGCAAAACTTGCCCTACACCAGTGTAAGCAAGTTGAGGGGTTAATTTTAGAGTATAAAACAATAAAAAACAATGAGCGACAATAAAACATATACTACATATACTACCAATACACTAAAACATTAAAGCACAATATTCCGTAATTGACTTTTAAAATGATGCCAGAAGATGTTGAACATCTCAAGATCTACGTTACTATTGGCTAATCGTAAGATTCTTGGATTGCAGCTATTGAATGTGTGGTTCAAACGATAAAATGGTTATGTAAAATGTTTGTTGCTGTCGAGTTGAGCGGTTTTGAACATGTAGATAAATTTTTTCTAGGAGTTCAGCACAACTGAATTTGCCGTTAATAATGTAATAATAAATAATGTATTTAAAGCGACAGCAAGATTACTACAAGGGTTGATATATCAATTGAATTATCGTAGACTTATTAAAAACATGTTTATTCAAAGTTTATTGCCATTCGATATAAATCAAGGTATACTAGTGCAGTGTTTTTCAACCTTATTTCAAGAGACCCCTTTGAAATCCATATTAGTCACATAGCACTGGCTACCAAACCACTGCATCGAGTCCAATATGCTTGCCCCGGTTTATGCCGGGGCAAGAAAAAAAATATGATTACAATAACAAAGAAGTGCTTTTAGCTGCTTACTTGGATCTAAAAGGCGCATTTTATTTATATAACAAGAATCCCTACGTTGTCACCCAGGCATTTAGGAAAAGAGGGGTCAACGATACAAACAGCAGGTGGGAGGTTGGTATATACAACCATTATGAGAGACAGAGTAATTGCATGTGTAGCAAGGGGTTGCCCTCAGGGAGGAAGTTTTGTCTCCACTGTCATGGAATTTTGTAATGTATGCAAATATAATAATATAGTGAGGAAGTGCTTACCCAGGCCCTGAACTAGATGGACCGATGAAAAAGGGCTGAACATAAACCCAATGTAATTAACCAAAGTAACATTCTGCAAGAGAACCAACAAAGGGCGGAAGATCTCTGAAACTTGGAGGTCAAGGGATCCATCTGTTGGGGCAGGTCAAACATCTGGGAGTGATACTAGATCCTAGGCTGACCTGAAAGCAACATCTAAAAAGAGTGAAAAGGCAGGGTAGCACTGATGACGGTCAGATGCACCTCCGGAAAGACATGAAACTGAAATCAAACATTATGGGTTTGATTACCATGGTAATCTTACCCATAGTAAGATATGCATCAATAATTTGGTGGCCAAAAAACGACCGCTATTAACAAACAACTAAGCAGAGTACAAAGACAAAACAGTTGCATTAGAGACATTCTTGAATTTTCCTCCTCAACAGGAGGGAAGAAAAGGTGAACAAATTTAAATTTAGGCCGGATAAATCATTGAGTAACATAAGATCCGGCAAAACACAAATTTTGGAATATGTGGAGGAACATGATACTGAAATACATGTTCGACACAGACTTCGTGGTTAAAGTCTTGAACCTTGAAGATTGACAATAAAAATTCATCATGAGGACAGACTCGGCAGAAAGACTTTTTATACATTCAAATCCTGGAAATGCCTTTAATGCTGAAACATTGCATAATGAAATTCATGTAACAGCAAGAAGGACAAAAAAACTTTTTTATTCACAATCTGAAAGAGTCAAACCTTCCGGATCAAAAAGACAGAATATCTCACGATATCGAGAATGTTATAAATAGTTTGGGCTCTAAACAATATTGAATATGATATTCAACAAAACCCAAACTTTTTTTGGAAACATATCTCCAATTTACACAAGGCATCGTCATACCCTCAATCAATGTATCTGGAAAACCAGACCAGCCATAGTAGAAATAATTTTGTAAATTTGTTTTCCCATCACTTGGCAAAAGTCTATTCTAACACAGACTTTATAATTCCAAACTACTGTTATAAAGGTACAGTTGACATTAACAAAATTAATATTGGACTGGTATGTCTTTGATAGTATCCATAACTTGAAGCTCAAGTATTCTCATGGGCCTAATGGTATACCGAAGGTATTGTTGAAGAGCTGTATCTGCACTTTAACTGTACCATCACAGTTTCTTTTCAATCTCTCTATAATGGGTATTTTCCGGATAACTGGAAAAATAGCTATATTACACCTATATTCGAATCGAGCCATAGGGAAAATGTTACAAATTATAGAGGAATTTGCATTCAGTTTGTAATACCGGAGTTGATGCCCAGGCTCAGGTCAACTTGTCAGTTGACCTGGGCCTGCAAGAATATAATAATTCGACAACAACATAGTTTCTATTCAGGACGATCTACTATGACAAATCTTATAACATATCAACAACATCTGTTATATGCCTTGGAGAATGGTAAACAAAGAGATTCTATCTATACCGATTTCTTGAAGGCATTTGATAGAGGTAATCATTTGTTGTTGGAAAAACTGAAAGCTCTAGGTTTTGGTACTGGTATACTAAATCGGATAAGAAGCTACTTAACACAACGTTTTCAGGGTTCAATTAATAATTACATTTCTGAAACAATTCCTGTAGCTTCCGGTGTGCCTCAAGGATCACATTGTGGATCATTATTGGTCAATCTATTTGTTAATGATATTGGAAATTGTTTACAGTATGCAAAGTCTTTACTATTTGCAGATGATTTGAAATTATATTTATCAGTTAGTCATGTCTTAGACAGTCAGATTCTTCAGAATGAATTAGATAGTATACATGATTGGTCCTGAAAAAACAATTTGTACCTGTACATAAAGAAATGTAACGTCATCACCTTTTCCAAATCAAAAAATATCCTTTATGATGACTATAATATTGATGGAAATGTACTCGACAGGGAAAACAAAATAAAAGACCTTGGGATTACTTTAGATTAATAAGTGAACTTCAAATGACACTTCAATAATGTTTCTGCAAAGGGAAACAAAATGTTAGGATTTATAATGAGAAATGGTAAAGAGTTATCATGTAATACCCTCAAAACTTAATATTCTTCTTTAGTTAGATCAGCACTGGAATATGCCTCAGTTGCATAGCTTCCATAATACAGATGTGACATTGAAAAAATTGAAAATGTTGAAATTCGATTTCTAAAGTATATATCCTTCAATATGAAGTCATATTCCAACTTTAATCGTCAAAATACTTTAAATAATCGACGCTTTTATCATGATATGACATTCATTTACAAACTACTGTAAGGTGAAGTCGACTGTAGTTATCTTTTATAAATTATTAACTTCAATGTAAAATCTTATGATACAAGAAATCCTCCACTTTTTTGCATAAAAAATCCTAGCACCAACTATGGTTACAACACACCGATGTTGTTGCGCCATAGGACCTTAATGAAACGCTTCAGAATGTGACGACCGGACTTCTGTATTGTCATGTCAATTATTACCACGGTAGCACGTATTATGCATTACCTATACAATGCAATAAAGGATGTTTCTTAATAACATGAAAATATTTATTTGAACAATTTCAGAAGGTCTGATGAAACAGAACATCTTCATTCATCAAAAGACATTTTTTGGTGTACAACCTAATAATTTATTCTTTACTGTGTTGTCTGTGAATGTTTGCAATGATTAATTTCACTGATCTTCAAAAAACATTTTTCTTCTCCTCATTGTTTTCATACATGGTAACAATAGAAAAAAGAAGACATTATTGAAGTAACAATGATCACAGAAAACTGAAAAAATACTACGGCTCAAATTTTACAGTGAAAAATGATATTTTTACAGTTAAAAAAAGTTATAAAAATATCAGTAAATTTATCTCATTATGGTGATATAATTAAGGTGATTTGTGGTTTATTTTCTTTTCGTCGTTTCTCGGTGAATCGACCAATAGAAATCAGTGAGCATTGCCCCTGAGCATTTTCCATTGTAGCGCCTTTCAATGTGTATATCTTGATAAAACTTTTCACCATGCTCATCTGGTCCAGTTCCGAGATTGTCAGGAAAGCAATCTTCATGCGAGTCCAAAAATTATTTTTCAGTGACATTGCATCATGAAGCTCTACAAGCACAAAGAAGTTCTCGAATGCTTTATTGGTAGTTGTCAGCTTTTGTATTATCAAGGAAATTATGACAAACTTCTATCTATAAAAGCTGCCCAAGTTTTTTTTTGTTTTGTTCAACTTTTAATCGAAAGCTTCATTTGTCATGAGCTCTTGTATTTGCGAACCAATAAAAAAATCTTTCAATTTCATGTCACTGATTCGAAGAGATTTCGTTTTGAAATATTGAAAACCTGCACCATCATTGTTCATAGTTTTTTCAAAGTTATTCATGAGTCCCAACTTTATGTATAGTGGCGGCAGAAAAATTTTGTCACTTGGCACTAAAAGTTCTTGAGTCCATATATGTCAATTTTCTTTGTAGCTAAGTTTTCATTTTGTGATGTTTATCTCTTGCGCGACTGTCGCGTTACGACTTTTATGTCAGAAAAATTTTTAGTGAGAATATTTTATTTTCACAAGTGATACCTCCCGATTTTCATAATTTTCTTTCACGTTTGTTGTATGTGCGAGGGGCACTAATGGGTATTTATTAAACTATACTTCGAGGCACAAATAAGACTCCATTCATTTTGTTTTGGGAAATTCCTTCTTGAAAAAACCCTGCAGCAACAATACAAGTCACTTTCTTTGGAAAAATAACATGTAAACTCTTATTGTCTTATGCGAATATATGAGAGGCTCGTACTTTTATCCAACAAATTCCACTGTTTTAATCTTGATCCGAGTAATTGAGCCTTTTAATGCACAAGATCCATACAAAGTGTATAAAGATGAATATGTAGAATGAAAACTAGATTGAGGCTGTAGTCCAGAAATATTTTCATATTCCATCTCGTTTTTTATTGGGGGTACTGGAGAAAAACTGCCTTCGTCACGAGGAACTGGACTCTTTGCAGTTGCGATGTTCGAATATGCAATTTTATTTTTATTTTCTTTCAAAAATCCTCGCGTTGATGTCATGCAGAAGTGAAAACCAATTTCATCATTCTGAGGTTCGCTCCAAAGCATTAGCATATTGTAACTGTAACAGCATATTTTTGACAGCCAATTTTTATCCCTCTCATCGATAAAAATTCAAAATGAAGTCGATAATATGTTTCAACAAGAAATGCTATTGCTTTTTTTTAGAATTCGCGGCATTCTATAACCTACAATTAAATAAAATTTATTTTGGGACAATTTTGCAACTTCTATTATATATTTATTGGCTCTGTTCATGAAAAAATACATAAAATTATCAACAAAAATATGTAGAATATGAACTTTGTGCACAATTTATCAAACACTGTACAGGCGCATATTTACTACCTTAGAAATCACTTTCGTTATTTTCCTTTTTTCAGTCACGACTAGCTGAAACCTATTTTGTATGTATATACACTGTTCATACGATGTGACTTTTTGAAGAAAGATTCTGGATTCTTCAGTATTTTAATACTAGATATATTTTGAATTTTTTTATCAGTGTTGATAAAGTACTCACCGCATTAATGCCACTAAATTGCTGTCCCATTTGCAGAGAACATACTAGTAAAACTGGCAATAAAAGCGACTTCTTAGACAACACTATTCTCATATTCCATGATTCTCCCACATGTTGTTCAATTTCTCGTTGTTCCACCTTCAATTCATTGATTTCGGCAGTTAAGAATTCTTCTTCTAAATTCCTAATTTTTTTCAATTCTGCAAATTAACAAATACTCAACGGAAAAAAAAGATTCTACCCTACTTACGTTTCAAGGCCATGTTTGGTGATTTCTTTATCACAAAGAGATATTTCGGACTTTCAGGCAAAATTGGCAGTGTCAATGTAGAAAAAAACAGAGGAAGCACATAAGCAGCCATGCAATAAGACCATAAATCTTTGGTACCTAAAAAAATATTTATTTTACTTGGAAAAAAATATAATGTACTTCTGAAAGCTCAGAGAATAACTCAGAGTATATACCCTTTGAAACACAAAAAAATAGTGATAGATGTAATGATTCTTTCAAGTGTACAGTTTGAAAATTACTTGCAGTAAATGACATACCTAACACATCATGTATGGATATAATTTGCCCCAGCAAAACGCCAATAGTGATTCCCAAGGGACATAGTACCCCCATTGCACCCCTTAGGCTAATAGGTGCTAATTCAGTCAAATACATTGGTACAACACTTGTAGTCAAACCTGAAAGAGAGATATTCAAAGAATATTTTTGAAATTTTCATGTTTGGTTGTATTTTGACTGAAATAGAAAAACTATAACTTAGGTAGATAAATTTACAACTATTCAAGTTTTGTTTCATATATTCACACCTGCAGTCAATTAATGTGTCAATGACAACTGAAATAAATTACATAGAGAGTAATTTGTTGAGTTTTATTATCATATGTAAAGTTTTACATTTAAAATATGTTATGAAAACGCTAAACTCTCTAGTTAATTTTAATATTTATTGATATAGTTTATTATGTATTGCTTAGGATGAGAAAAATATTTTATTTTGCAAAATACTCTTGTCATTGGGATTATAAACCACGATAACTATCTAACAAAACTAGTTTCAATTTTCACTTAATTAAAACTGAGAAACATTTATGAAGATGAAAGAAGGGAAAATCGTCGACCTCCGTTTGTCTGCAAAAATAGTTTTTTTAAAATCCTAGGTAAAAACGTTTCTCGTTTACATGTCTGTAATAGTTCAGGAAATTATGGCAAAAAATGAAAAAATCTAATTTTATTAATATCTTGGTAACGATAGAAGATCACAAATTATCTCAGAAACTCTATTATTCGGGAATGAAATTCAGTTCAGAAACTATACAAGAAAAAGGAAAATCCTAAGTATTCCTCCTAGATTGAAATTTCCCTAATCTATGTTGCATAAAAATTAATATATTTTTTACCATAAGTAGTCAGTGGGCTATGCTTGAAGACTGACAGTAAACAAATCTAAAGAAATTAACTTTAAACGTTCAAGCCAGTCTCGAATATACCTACACAGTAGGTTGAATGGACTGACGCCTATCAGAAAACAACTGCTCCCCTGGCACGAAGGGCTTTGGATTATATCCGATAGGCGTCAGTGCAGGAATCTTCACAGAACATTTTCTGCATATGCAATTGGCAATACAACTGAACCAGTCGACCTTTAATTTTGGAACGGGCACGGGTTTCGGGCTCATTAGCTACTCATCAGTGCAAGATTATGACCGAGTCAATACCTCAGGAAATTAAAAAAAAAATCAAAATTTTCTTTTTGAATACCTAACACGAAAATAAAAAATGGAAAGATACCTTATTGTTGATCTCAATGAGTTATGTTTTTCTGTAGTCCATGGCTGAGGAAATTTGAAGAATATTCGACTGTGATCACTATGAAATAAAAATCAAGTACGACTGAAAAACATTGACCCTTATTGAGAATACAAGTTCCTATTCTGTATATATTATACTGAAACATATAATACAAGAAAAAATAAGTTAAGAACGCTCGCGTTTCCATCGTGCAATACTTACTATGTATGAGTACCAAGGACTGAACCCTAGTAGTTTAGAAGCATCTTGGAACCACATCCACACATTGCATGAACTCATCCAGGATCTCAGAATCACTGGACCAACACGAAAAATAAAAAAATGGACAATTAACTAAGGTACGTTTTCCTTGATTTCAATGAGTGATCATGTTTTCTTGTAATCAAAACAGATGATTGGAAGGAAGTTTTTATATAAAATCGAGTGTGAACTGTTATATTTCTACCACTAATATCATCAACACAAACGTCACTTTATATTTGGAAAATGGAATTTGGAACCCCAGGCGTTGAGTTATTCTATTGAAAACACTTTTTTCCCACCAAAACAAAAATTCTGTCTCTCGACGCGCGTTTCGCTAACCAAATTAGCATCATCAGGAGATTACTAAAACTACTCCTTAGGTTAGGTTAGGTCCAAAGTGAGTGGGTCTATTCGACCCTCCACCGCAACCTGCAAGGATTTATTGTGTCTCACACCTATTCACACTCGACCAAATAAACCCAGCTTCTAAACGAAGCCGATTAATGATAATAATAATAATAATGATATTTATTTATCCTTTGAGACGTTAACAACGTATAGGACATGTCAGTACAACACGTTAAAATAGTATAAAGGAAATAAACATACATAAAGATAAAATATCTCAGTAGTTTTAAAGTATAAAATTGTATAATAAAATAATAAAATCTGGATGACAGGAGCAAATTTTCAACTACTCTTTTAAATGACATCAAACTCATGGTTTTAAAGTGATCAGGTAGGTGATTGAATAATTTTATTCCCAATTTGGGTGACTGTTCAAATTTAGAGGATCTGTGTCTAGGAATACTTAACAATTTTCCATTTCTGGTTGAGTAACTGTGGTAAGAAGAATTTGTGTCATATTTTGTTAAATTATCGTGGATAATATGTTAATACAAGGGAATGGCAGGATTTGATATGATATGAAGTGCTGTTTGCATAGTGTATCTTTTATTTTTACCAACATTGTACGGCCTGAAACAAAATGTTTGAGCCATTACAAAAATACACCCCTAAATCCTAGATTAAAAAGTTTGGTTTCAATAAAGTCATAAGATAAGACAGTCAAATGCACGTGAGAGGTCAAAAAATATTCCTGCCACGTGCATACCATTGTCTAGGGAGTTATAGATGATTTCAGCAAAACTACAGGCAGCTGACTGTGTGGACTTGTGCGAACTTGAAAATTTCGGCAGTAGATAAGCAGGGCGAGTGCCAGGCTTGCGGTGGAAATTCTGAACATTGGTCTAGGGAATTGAGGGTCGATACCACGGATAACAATAGAGATGAATATAGAGGTTCCAGAGATTATGGGAACAAAAATCATCCACTTCTAGGAAGGAATTGTTACTCATGCGGAAAACCAGGTAATTTCTCCAGAGACTGTCGCAGAGTTTAACCCGAAAACAGTAATGGATGTTATATGTGCCAACAAGCAGATCATTGGGTAAGGGATTGTCCAAGAAACAATCAGAGTAGGGGTCGATCAGATTTTCGTAGGTCTTATAGGGGAGCTAGGGTTGCAGAATTTCAACCACGTACATGAAAGCCGGTCAGAAACGTAATTGGATACAATAGATATGGAAAACCAAATGCGGAAGCTGAGAACAGCAGAGAGGCAAAGCAGAATACGGGAGCCATACCTAGACAAGCATCACAGTCGACTTCTTTTTCAGGGCCACGACAGGAAGATGGGGACAATGTCAATTTAAACTTCTAAGGCTGAATTCCCTCTGCCAGGATGGAGGCCATCGACAAACAAGGATGCAGTATCAAATATATAATACAGGGAAATTGGGAAATTCGGGTGTACAAAATCATAATAAAAGGGAAAGTAAACGGGTTATGGTAATACCGGAGGTAAATTCAGGAGATATACCGGATATACCCCATATTATAAGAGTGAGTGTGAATGGAGTATTGAGTTATTGTTTAGTAGATACAGGAGCAGCGGTAACGCTTATTCAAAAAAAGCGAGTGCTGGAGAATGAAGTAGATGTGAGAGGAGCGGATAAATATCAGTTGACCAGTGTCACAGGACATCCTTTGCGGACGTGGGGTACTACGAGTATGACGGTAGGACCTGAGGATGGAGATGTAAACACAAGATGTACCGCAATCGTTTGTGAGGACGAAACATTGGGAACGGTTCAAGCCTTAATGGGAAGGGATTTCCTCTATGCCAATCGAGAACGTATCTCCTACGAGCAAATGCCATGAGTCGCTATGTGGGGCACGGTCATCCCATTTCTGCACAAAAAAGACATGGACGAAAATATTGGATGCCAATAGGACAAATCACCAGGAGAAGAAACGACAAAAATCTAATAGGCAGAGCACAAAAGGAAAGTAATGGAAGGAGCATAGATGCAACGTGCATGGAAACCAGGCTGATGGCCCAAACCACATCTTTTCCTCAACGGGGATCAGAGAATAACTGGGCTGGTTGGCTTCAAAAAGTGAAAATCTTTTTCGATAGTTACAGAAGACAAGTTCAGCGGACAAATAGACATCAACAAATATCAGAAAATTTTGAAAGAAGAGGAAACAACAAGCAAGGCGATGCAGAGGAGACTGAAGCAATAACCGAGGTACCTTTAGCGGTACAAGTTATCACAACAGAAGAGGCAGCAGCCAAGACAGGGAAGAATACAACGTACACAGAAGATGACGAAAATAAAACTGAAGACATCAGCAGAATCAACGATGCTGGCAGAATTTTTCCTCAGGAATTAGAAAATTAAATCGTCAGAGTACCAGAGTTATCCAAACTTAGAGAAACTGTCGGTACTTCCAAGACAGATTCAGGAGTGCGTCCATCGCACGCGAAACAAAGTAAGTCTGATATCAGTCCAGACGAAAATCAGACATCAGATGAGCCAGTATCAGAATCGGACCTGGTAGCAATGGAGGATCTGGTAATTTCCCCAAGGACAGAGGCGTATATACGAGGAAGCCTGAAAGTACCTGTAGAAGGTGATATCCTAGTTTGTGAGCCCTTTGAAATAGGAAATCCTCAAGCACACGTAGCCCGTACTGTTTTCAGGAATGAAAAAGAAATCCCAGTGAAAATCATAAACTTATCGTGGAAAGAGGTTATTCTGAAGAGAGGACAGAAACTTAGTAGAGCTATTGTGGGAGAGGAATCACCTCAAATTAACACCTCTAATAGCAATGTTTGTAAATTGAATTTTTCAAACGATGAATAGATGAGGAATGGATTTGACCTACATCATTTGGATGAAATGAACAAAGAAGAGCTATTTAAGTTAATTCGAAAATACAAGCATCTGTTTCGGGATGAAGATGAAGAGTTGACTAGTACGACAAAGGTAAAGCATAGCTTGACCTTGGTACCAGGCGCACAGCCCATTTGTAAAGCTCCATACCGCATACCTTATCGTCAACGAGAAGTACTCGAAGGAGAAATAAAAAGTTTATTGGACTTGAAAGTTATAAGACCATCATGTAGTCCGTGGTCTGCACCCGTAGTCCTGGTAACAAAACGCCTGCCTAATGGAGAAGAGAAAGTGAGAATGTGCATCGACTACCGAGGACTCAATAACGTAACCAAGAAGGAATACTATCCCCTTCCTAACATATCGGATTTGATTCAAAAACA